ACTCTTTGTATGTACTCTTAGAAATATGGGAATTGCCCATATTGAAGCCAGTCATCCAGCCATCATGTTTGGTTTTCCGCTTTGAACACATTTGTCTTGTGCGAGGTAGGCTTTAAGGTCCTGTGAGTCTCCTACTTCAGCAATCATATACAGAAGACAGAAACTTCATTTTGATTGCATCTAGTGATCTTTTTATACCCTGAAAGCATGATGTTTTGTAATTCTGGCCTAGTGTGTTTGCAGTTTTGTTTTTATTTATATGTATCTCTAAACCTAAAACAAGTTTTTATAGAGGAAATTTTAGGTAAATTGTATATATTTTTTAAAAAGTCATCAGAAATCTTTAGATATTTTATATCTGTTCCCTCTTTAGATACTAATATCCCCATGTGGGAAATGGAAAATGTAAGTTCTCCATGCTGTCATAAGAGCTGTGAACATTTCTCAAAAGCTGTATGAACGCAGTTCACCAGAACATGTTTCTGCTCCGTTGCATGTTTGTTTCCCCATCTTTTTACCATTGTTTCATTTTGTTTTCAGTGGCCCTAAGAAGCCTGCTTCTTTTTTTTTTCTTTAGTTCTGTCTACATTCTTTGTTAAACTTTTGGTCTTTCTCACTTCTGGATTACTTTACTACCATGGATTTCCCTTTCTTTAAGTTTGTTGTTTTGAATCACTTTCAACTTTTTCTGTAATACTCTAGTGAGGAACTGTTCAGAGTGAATTAGTAGGTAGCTAGCATCTTAGAATCAAAACATAAAATGTTGAAATTGATTAACTAGAGATAGTAATGTTAATTTTTAGGTAAAGAAACATTGTCTAGTGTAGAACAAAGTAAACCCCATTATAGAAATGGGAATTTAGGAAGAGTTCCGAATGCCCTGTTGTTATATTGCCTTTCTATATAAAATATTATAGGAAATATAGAATCAGATTTGTGGTAGTTAAGAACTTTCTAAATGAATTTTAGTATATTTTCATAGGAATGATGTGAAAAGAAGAATGGATGAATGTTATCTGTGAAATGGTGAGAAAACAAGGAACTGTGAGAATTGAGTTTTAATATTTAAGAACCTGTGATGGAAATGGAGGAGATTGCAAGTTCCACCAGTGGTGGAGCTAGATCTCCTGGATTCATTTGAATAGAAAAAGAGAGGATATGTTGTGTTCCGTATATGAAGGCTATCCAAGGACACCTCAACGGAAGATCTCAGGAGGAAGGTAATAAACAAATGGAAGGTAGACTTGAGTGTAGCTTTCTTCTAAAATGGGAAGAGAGTAGAATTAAAAGCAGAAAAGAAAAATGAGGCTGTTGCTTATAAAATTTGAAAATGTTTAAAAGATTGGGTAGGAGTTAGAGTGTGAGTAACTAACATTTTAATACATAATAGAATCTGCAACCAATTGTGTACTTTTTTAATTTAAATTTTTTTTTATAGCAATGGGGTTTTGCTCCATTGACTAGGCTTGAGTGCAGTGACACAATCATGTCTCACTGCAGCCTAAACCTCATGGGCTCAGGTGATCCCCCCATTTCAGCTTCCCAAGTAGCTAGGACTACAGGTGCATGCCACCACACCTGGCTGATTTTTAAATTTTTTGTAGAGCTGACAGTCTCACTGTGTTGCCCAGGGCAGTCTTGAACTCCGGACCTCAGGTAATCCTCCTACGTCAGTCTCGCAAAATGCTGAGATTACAGGTGTGAGCCACCTTGTCCAGCCTGTGAACATATTTTTAATAGGTGTTTTTGAGTTATTAAATACCCATGTCCTACAGCATTATGGATAATTTATGTTTTCTCACTCAGCGTCACTGATTCGGTCTTTATATTCTCTGAATTAAATATATTTTCAAAGTAGCACATTTTCTATCAAGCGAGGTGTTTTATTGCTATTTAATTATTGACATCCTTGAAACAAGAGCTGCTTTACATTTAAGAGGTATATGAGGGAACACAGCTGAAAAACAGAAGAGCATTTTTGTTAGAAATATATAGGGGATAGGTGCTGGGGTGGAAGGGAGACTCACTAATTCTGCAATTTTCAAACAGTTACAGTAGTATATATAAAATTTGAAGTTAATTGAGAATAACTAGAGAATGAAACCTTCTGAATAATAATAGAGATACTTTTGGGAGGCAGGAAGGGAATATCTTTGGTTGTGATAATGTTTAGTGCTTTGATCTAAGTTTTGATCACATGGGTGTATTTCTATCTTAAAAGTCATTGAGACTGGGCACTGTGGCTTATGTCTATAATCCCAGCACTTTGGGAGGCCAAGGCAGGTGGATCATTTGAGGTCAGGAGTTCAAGACCAGCCTGGCCAACATGGTGAAATCCTGTCTATACTAAAAATATAAAAATTAGCCAGGTGTGGTGTGGGACGCCTGTAATCCCAGCTACTCAGGAGGCTGAGGCAGGAGAATCACTTGAACCCTGGAAGTGGAGGTTGCAGTGAGCTGAGATCAAGCCACTGTACTCCAGCCTGGGTTACGAGTGAGAGTCCACCTCAAAACAACAACAACAACAAAAAAGTCATTGAACTGTGTAAAATATAAATAAAACTTAATGTTTATACATTTTGCTGTATGTAAATTATATCTCAATTCTTAATGCAGAAAAAAGCACACTTCTCATGAGTACTTTAGACTGGGATTTTTAAAACATATCTATTTTGTTTACTATTTGTACTGGATATATATCTAGTATCATCTTTGATGTTACTTTAAAAATATTCTTTAAAGTGATACCACTGGAAGAAAAACTGCCCATTTATTTCACTTATAACTGTCATGAACTGAAATTTCCCAACACTGACCTCTGTTTCAGACTCCTGCTGTTGCCTCTGCACTATTAGTTGGTGTCAGCAGGGGGTTAACAGCACTCAATTTAACCCTGCTATTTGTATTCTGTTTTGAATTTTTTTCTTTTCTCATTTAACTTCCTTACATGAATTCTTCATTTTAAAGATTGTGCATGCACCATGGGGTGCAGTAAAAGATTGTAGTACAGATAAGCATACAATGGAAGCACATTTAAAGATAATGTGAAGCTACTTTTCTTTTTTTTCTAGGAGAATAGAGGAATTGCTGTGAAAATCATTAAACAAGAGAAAAAATTAAGCCTACTCATGCTGTTATTTTTCTGTGAAGATTATAGACCAGTTTAAAATATATAAGGACTATATAGATATGGATTAATTATACATTGTATGTCCATTTAGGGGGCATCTCTGTGACTGTTGTGCTTGTAGCTAGCCATGGACAGAGATTTATTGGACCAGAAGTACTTCTTCTGTCTCTCCCACATTAAAATTTTAGAATCTGTTATGACTGAGACCACATCCACTATTCTTTCAATGTCCCTCCTCTCATTGATCCCTCTACCCACTTCTTGGTCCTTTTATCTTATAAATGCTGGGCCCTTCCTATTCAAAACAGTCATCTTCAGCAGGATAGGAAGTATGAGTAATTAAAGAGGGGCCCCTAAACTCTAGACCCCTCCTCCTCAACTCCCCTTAGAAACTATCTCCCCTGAACAGGGCTGTATAGAATCCTAGTGAACTTAAAGGCTCACTACTCATATGAGTGGTCTTCGTCTTTCTCTGAGTGGGTTCTAAGTAAAACGCCAGGTTGGTGGAAATGGAAAAGAAGGAGGGCTGGCTCAAATTCTGGAGATCCTATATGAAAAGGAATAATGAGACACTCACTGTCCTGTGGGGTAAACAGGAAGGAGAGCCTAACTTTCCATGCCACAACCTCCAATTCCATTCATTTCCAGCCATTGCTTTGTACGACTCTAGCACACTCCTCTCCTGGTCTGTAGTTCAGGATTCCACTAGTTTCATGTCCAGATGCCAAAGACACTCTGCTCGGTGCCTAAGACACCAAAGTGGAAACAACAGCAATAGAAAACACTTCCAGTGAAGTTGAGGGAGACCCAGATTTCACTGTCTATCAGGGAGACTTGCATTCCTGTTAGCTCAAACAGATTCTGAAGGCATTTCTCCAGAGATGCCTTGCTTAGGCGAATAGGGAGTGTAATAACCCAGGTATTGTACTTTACTATTATAATAGTCTACTCTTATGCTAGGGTGACATACATCCTGGCTTGTACTGGATGTATGTCACCATCCTGGCATAACTGTTTTTAGTAATTGCATCCCGTTTTATTCCCCAGAAGTTTGGATGGTAAATTATATTGTCACTACACTCATAACAAAAATGGACTTCTTAGTCCATGGGAATTGTGTAACAAAAGCCCCAAATGTAAACATATTTCATTAAGTAAAGTTAAAATGATGGTGATGATGTTTAAAAATACCGTAAATGCAAATGTTTATTAAATGTTCTAAAAATCAAAACAGAAAAACTCTTTTGTGAAGGATTCTTGTTACTATGATATAATTCCTACAAGATACTTAATAGCACTGCCCATACAATGGATGCAAAATAACCACCTAGTATTTAAAAATATTAAGTCAAATATAATGGTGTAAAATCTTTATAATAGAATGCTTAAACATTTCAGTTAGGAATTTCTGCTTAATTGCATGTTTAAATTTGTCTTATTCCCAGCTCTTTTAAATTAAAGAACCAATCATGAGCGTTAATTTTGAATATTGTTTTAAAATCATGTTATATGTAGAAAGCAAATAATGATTAAAAATAGAGATACTGGTTTTAGGAGATAAGTGTTTCACATTTATTTCTTATTTGCCTTTTTTAAAAGACAGATTATGTAAATTATTCTTCAAATTTAAATGTCTAGGTATAAAATTGAAAAAACAAGTTTTAGTAAGAAAACTATTTTCAGACTTAATACTAACCAACTATTGCTAATATGCTATAAAATGCTACTTAGGAAGTTACAGACTCCAATTATTATAGTTAATGGTCTCAGTGGCCTCACCTTGCCTTAATCTAGGACATAAAGCATGCAGAACTTGTAATTTAATTATCACCTGTTAATATTGGCTCTAAATTCATTTCTCTCCTTTCAGGATGAAACTGCAGTGATGAGCCAATTAAAAATCATTATCTTCCTACTGAAAACACCAGCCTGCTAACTACACCCACAGTATACAAATCTGCTGAGACTTTCAAGAAGAAACTTACTGCCTCTTACCTTTAGGGAGTGCTGAATTAAATTATTTTTGGCCACTTATAATTCTAATATTTTGTTTTAATTATTTATTTTTTTGAGATAGGGCCTGTGTTGCCCATACTAGTCTCAAACTCCTGATCTCATGCAATCCTTCTGCCTCAGGCTCCCAAGTAGCTGGGATTACAGGTGTGCACAAATCTAATTTTGTACATCTCTAGATTATATGAAGATTGTATTTTTTAAATTATTACATACCTTAAAAGCCATGAGAGAAGTGGAGAGTTATGTTATTCTACAGTAATAAATGGCAGAAATGAAATCTGTGTTCTTACTCATATTTCCATATCATGAGATGTAACAAAACATCAGAGAATGTGGTGCTACAAAAGGGTTGTTAGCTTGTAAAATCCCATTGATATGTACTAGAGAAATGTGCAGTTTATTTACAGAAATTTATTAGAAACTTTGTTCTTTGTGTACTCTCCTGACATTGTGTACCATTGTACTGAAATACAATTTTATAATTGACCCATGGGAATCAAACTCTGGAAAATTGATTTGTGCTAACCAAACTCACAAGAGATTGATTTATAAACTAGTAAATCACTTTTTAATTTACTATGAGAATGCTACCTGATCCAAAAACCTGAAAAATTTATGATGTGTTTTTGAGTTTCCACTACTCTCAGTTCAGGCACTATAGTGAATAAAGAGGTGAAAAACACTTAGTCCCCATCCTCAATGAATTTGTAATCTGGTGAGAAGATTTGGACAGCAATACATAGAGTACAAGTAAGACTAATGCATGAGTAAATGCGTGAGTGATATGTTGTGGTTAAATGTGTAGTAGAGGTTTTTGTTTCTGCTAGGCATACTCTTATAGTTAGGAAACCAAATTATAATTCAGTGGATATGTTTTAAGAGATATTTCTTTCAAGCCATTATTGGATAATAAATTAACTTTCCTTTTTCTCTGCATGTTTCTATATAAAGAATCAGGACCAATAAGCCATAATTAGGACACCTTTGCTCTTGAATATGCTATAGACACTACAAAAGTTTTAAAACTCTTAACATGTGCAGATACATGAAAAGTTCACTCTTGTTGCAGTTATTACACCAGAATCTTTCCTTCTGTACTGTAGATTGATTCTAAAGTTAGTGCATAAGGCAAAAATTAAATTATATATAGCCAAAATGCTCTAAAAATTTCATAAATGGTTTATAGAATACATACTGGTGTTGTAAAACTGTTCAATAATATACAATTATAATGTTTAGTAAATCGTGATGTGTAGTAAAGCATACATAATCCAAACAATTTTGTAGTATTTTAATTGCAGTATTTTAAAGCTGTTTATACAAAGGAATCTTAATAAATTAAATACATGTGCCATGTATATCCTCTGTCATCATACCCAAGTTTGTAGTTTTCTTCCGTTGAGTAGATTTCTGGTGAGCCACTATCTAACAGTATATATTGGGATACTTATCTGTTAAAATACAAGATAGATTGTGTTGCTTTTGAGGAGCTTTTCTATAGCCAGCCTATTTTAGACTTTTTTGCGTGGATTTGTTTTGTGTGGTAGAAGTAAGGAGATAATGAAAGTATGATTTCATGACTCACATAGTTTATTGCCATACAAAGAGAATTTTTTCCTTAGGTTCCTAGTGCTTAAAGAAGGGGAGAATAACGTGAACAGATCTCACGGGGAATATACTCGATAGGTGAGATACGTGAACTGCAAAGTGACTAAGTTCCAAAACTATTAAAGGCATTGCCCAATAGGATGGAAGCCGACTTCTGTGGAAAATAGTCTAATTAAAGATTGAGGCTGGGTGGGTGGCTCACGTCTGTAATCCCAGCACTTTGGGAGGCCGAGGTGGGTGGATCTTGAGGTCAGGAGATCGAGACCATCCTGACTAACAGAATGAAACCCCGTCTCTACTAAAAATTACAAAAAATTAGCCGAGCCTGGTGGTGGGCGCCTGTAGTCCCAGCTACTCTGGTGGCTGAGGCAGGAGAATGGCGTGAACCCAGGAGGCGGAGCTTCCAGTGAGCCGGGATCGCGCCACTGCGCTCCAGCCTGGGCGACGGAGCAAGACTCTGTCTCAAGAAAAAAAAAAAAAAAGATTGAGTTGTACCTTTTTATGAGCGGTTCCTCTGGAGAAACTGGCTTGACCAGTACAGTGGAGATTTATTACCACAGGTAAGGTCCCTCAAGGCTGGAGGTGGTGCCAGTAGTGGCAGGCAAGGCTTCAGAGATTAGCTGGAATGATGTTGCCCTGTGGCAGTGTCACAGCATGTCCTCTTGGTCTTTGGAGAACATGTAGCTTGCCACAGTCTTAGCTCTCAAAGTGTCTGTCAAACTCTTAGATTTATATGTATTTTGAAGTCCAGTAGTTGAGGTCAGCAACTCACATATGGATTCTGATAAAGTGTGTTGTGACATTCGCAAGGGGAGGGGTACCACTGTCACATTCTCTAGGGGATGGGGGAGAAAACACTCCAGGTTCTTATTATAGCAGAACATATTCACGTAGCAAACTATGTAAGTGTTTGGAATCATTTCACAGCAACATAACAGGATTCTTACTAGTTTCAAACATCCTTCCTAGATTTGGATGTTAGTCATATTTTTCTCTAATTACTATATTCATCCAAATATACGTGCAACTAACTGGCATTGGGTCCATGTTCTGTTTCCGACCATAGATAGCTTACCAACCTACAAGGAAATCAAGCCCCTGACTTGGCTATTATTTGCACTGTACTCCATCAGCTGAGCCTCAGAACCCATCTACCTGAAAAAGTGATAAAATTGTCTCATTTAGCAAGCACACTGAAGCAAGACTAGCTGTGTTCAGCCTGCATCTAAAAGTGTGTTACTTTCACTATAATAGTAATTTTGAGGTAGTTATTAATGGTAGTGTTTATGGTACTAATTGGTGCCTGATCATTTCTACAATAAGATTGGTATTATTTCCATTTTTAGGAGATCAGAGTTTACAGGATTTGCAAAAGCCTTGATTTGAAAGCCAGTGGCAGAGCCAGGCCAGAATGATGGTTTTCCCCATCTAAAGTCAGTGATCTGCTTATCTATGAGATCATGGCCATTATACCAAGTATTGGGAGGACCTGGTGAAAGATGGTTTTTAGGATTTGGCATCAAAAATGTAGAGCTCACGCTCTGGAATCCAAGAGTTGTAAGAATTTCGCTGTTCTACTTAAGGGCTGGGTGACTTTCAGCAAGTTACTTTAAACTTTTCAAGCCTCAGTTTATCCCCCTCAGGGATTTTCAGATAGTTAGATGAAATAATAGGTAAAGTGCTTAGTACAGAACCTGGTATATGATAAGAGCTTAGTAAATATTATTTGTTTTTTAATCTTAAGAATATTTAGAATTTCAAGTTTTCAACAGCTTTTATGTACATCTCTTATGTACATGTGTATTGCCAAATGAAAGCCTGTTTATTTTTCTTCCTAAAAATGACTAGATATTATATAACTCTATAGATGTGCTTATGAGGGCACACATAATCACCACCACTCTCAACACCTATTTTTGGAATCTTAATTATTCCTTCCATAATATTTTCTTAATCTGCTATAATGTGAGATATATGACTACAGCTGAGAAGTATTAAAAGCAGAACAGGAAACCACAGAAGTTTCTTAAAATAAAAATACAAACTGAGCTCAGAAACATGATGTTTATATACATATCTGAAAAGGAAATGTAGCCAGTGAGCAGAATACACTCAAAGCCAACCACAAATAAGCAGTAAAAAAAAGAGAAATACTGCAGTTTATTTTAAAATTGCACACATCTTGCTTTCATTAGAGTATATAGGAATTTCATTGTAAAATACTTTTAAAAAAATGTAAAGGTATGTGTGTGCTTTGACTGAATAATTCTACTGTGATGTTGATTATACTCTAAAGTATACATGTGAAGCTAGAGTTGAATATGAGGTGCTGCCTTGTTCTTTCAAACTGTAATAGCGTGTATGCTATGTGGCCAAACCCTGTCCTCTGCAGAGACCAGCAAGTCAAAGCCATGTTTCTCACAGCTTGGTTATAGGAGCTCTTGGTAGCACATGTACATATATGTAAAATGTTTATAGATAGCTCTTAAATTTTAAAAAGTACAATAAATTTTATGATCACATTCTAATTGCAAGTGAATTGGCTTTTGTTTTTGAATTGACAAAATTTTCCTTTGAAATTCATTTACTTATGCTTTTTTAAAAAGTGTGTTGATTTTTAAAATCAGCATGAAACTAGTAGGAAGATACGGACAAAGTACAATGTTACACTCAGCTGACTGAAGTTTTGGGGACTCTGAACTAAACAGAAGTGGATAGTTGATATTTTAATTTAAAATATTACCTGTTTGGCATACCTAATTTTTACTTAAGAGAAAAAAAAATTAATGTCTATTTTATTTGTCAAATCTCTATAACACCCTTTAATTATTACATTTTTAGTAGCAGTGATTTGCTGACATTTGTGCAACCCATATGTTGTGATCCATATACTTCTCAGTGACTGAAGTCTTTTCTTTAAAATTAGTCCTGCTATATGTTTATATAAATCTTTGGGAAAGGGGTTTCTTTTCAAAATGCTGTTTGACTCTCTTGTGAGATTGAATGTCTGTGATCAAAGTACTGAAAAATTTAAAATACATAATTATGAAGTAACTCCTCACATCTGAAGAAATGTTCCTCAGAGATTCCACCATGTTTCTTCAATAAGAGCACTAATTTTATCTCAGAGATGGTACTAAGACATGGTGATGGGAGAGATAGATGTTAGAAAGACACCTCTCTGAGGAGGTGACCTTTACATTGAAATTCTGAAGAAAGTAGGGCAGGTAAGCTCTAAGCAGAAGGAAAATTTGTAAAGACCTAGGGCAGAAAGGAGTTTGGTCTATTAGACAAACTCAGAGTAAGCCTGTGCAGTGGGAGCTTAGTGAAGGAAGGGAAGAGAAGTGAGAGAGAAGTTTGGAAAAGTAGAAATAATCAGTGGGGCAGTCTTTCTCCCAGATACTGTCACTTTATCATAAATTAATTTAGTGAAACTACAATAGAGCTAAAACTGTTACTTTACCTTGAATATAGAGGAGGAAAATGCTGAGAACATTTGATTAATGTAAAAAAAAACAGAAAGAAACCTCATGAAATTGCTAAACCTCTCTATTGGAAATTTGAAAAAATCGTTTTGTTGAAATTGCCATACTCTTGTGGTAGTGACTAAGTCTCAGGAGATCTGATGGTTGTATAAGGGGTTTCCCTTTTTGCTTGGCCATCCTTCTCT